ATTCAAATTTCATTCGGCTTTCCACATGTTCATTTACTAAATCTGGCAATCCTACCCCTCAAAATGCAAACAGAAGTCAGTCATACTTCCAATATCAATACCCAAATAATTTTTAAAAAATTCCTCCTTGAGAATGGTCTTTATAAGATGGGCCTTGTACTTATCCTTCTGCTAGCTCCTAAAGAGTTAAAGCTGGACATTAAGTGAAATTTCTAAAAACTGCCAAAGGCTATTCAGAAAATCTGATGAATGAAAATGATCAAATAGGGTGACTCCCTTTGGGTCCAAAACATGAGATATAGTTCTATGTTAATGAAATTAATTTTTTAATTATCCTTTCTTATTATCCTTACTAACTCCTTGCTGCCTTCAGAATGAATTCTCAATTTTGTAATACTGCATGGAAAGCATCCAGCAAAATCTACATCTCTAGCCTTGGGTTTCATCCTAGTTCCTGGCCACACCAGGCTTCTTACTGGACACTAGACTTCTTTCCTATTATGTCCCATATAGGATAGCTTTTTCCAGCCTTACCTACTTGACTGAATCTTTCTTTCTTTCTTTCTCTTTCTTTCTTTCTTTCTTTCTTTCTTTCTTTCTTTCTTTCTTTCTTTTTCTTCTTTCTTTCTTTGTTTTTTAGAAAGAGATTTTTCACATATAAGGCACGTGCACTCACCAGAGAGACAGAGAGAGACAGACAAAAAGAAAAAAAATCACCCCCCAGACGGGATGGCCATACTGCAATCCCTTCTCCTCTATTCTCCTCTCAGGATTCTGGGCAAGCATGCACACATGCCCAGCTTATGTCAAGCTGCTGGGTCCTGGATTTGAACCACAGTTGGCATGTGGGAGTCCAGTGATGTAACCATTATGCCACCTACTAATCCCATAACAAGTCTTTCTTTGATACTTTTCAAAGATTCATTTTAAATATTTTCTTTAATATGTTGAAGAAAGTATGAATGGATAAACAGACAAACTTATAAATTGTTTCTATAAAATGTGCTGGTCTCATTCTCAATACCCAAGCAGAGGCTTAAAAGGCTTTGGAAACCAGACGGTGGAACAGTGGTAAAAAGTAAAGCTCTAAGAGGAAGGGATCCACAAAGAAGGGCTCTTAGTTCATAGCCAGAGACGTCCCTGAGTACATCAGGCATGTATATGATCCAGCGTTGGCTGAAGCTGGCAGTGCACTGCAGCATCATGACCCTGTTGGGGAGTGCTGTTTGTGTCTCTTTCGCTCATGGAAAAAATAAATAAACTTTAAGCCCTGGAGTTAGGAAAATCTGAAATTAAATCCCAATTTTGTTACTGAATAGATATAAGATTGTGAACAAAAAAATTAATGCCAGTGAACTTCAATCCCCTTATTTATAAAACTGGACCAATACAGCCCATCCCACAAACGATTATGGAAAAGATGAAATAAAAGGTACAAAAATTTAGTATAGAGTCTAATTCAGAATGAACATTGGCTTATAGCTATTATCTTATTGTTACTCTTTTCTTTACACCCTTCAGTACCCTCATATTATAGAACTCAGACCACTTTACTGCATTTAACTGTTTACAAAACTCCTATGCAAGGATTGCCTCTGTACAATAAATCTTCGAAAAGTTCGTGAGAAAAAAAATACAATAAAATTATGTATGTATTTCAAAACTGTATACCAATATAAATTTGTATTTTAATTCCATTTTCCCACAAACTTTTTGAAGCCATATGTGTCTGTGTGTGTGTGTGTGTGTGCGTGTGTATATACACACATTCTTTGATCACCAGCTAATAATACCACAGTTCCTGGTGTATAGCAGAACATTAGAACTAAAAGGGAGGGATTTAATATGTATTAGTCTTAAACATATGCTAGGCACCATAAAAGATGTTTTCAGATATTACTTAATCCTCAATACAAGACTTGTAAAGTAGATAAAAGTACATCTATTTAAGAAAAGAGGAAACTAAATCCCATAGCTCAGTGATTTGCTCAGTGTTCAAAGGTAGCCAATGATGTGGGCAAAATTCACCTCCAGGCCTGTGTGACAGTATGCCTGGGCATACCACACACATCACACAGATTAGTCTCTTTACTTTCCCGGTTCCAACTCTTGCCAAGGTTAGAGTGAGTAACCAAATTTGTGTAAAGTTTTCACGTAGCGGTAAGTAAAGCAGGGATTTAATAAAGGAGGGAAACACAAAGCAGAGATTAGTCAAGGCAATTATACCATGAAATGGGGAGGCTATCTTGTACCAGCCAATATCAGTTTCTTTCCTTCCTTCACATCTGATTTAAAAACTCCGTAATTTATTATGTTTAAGTTAATGACTAAGAACATCAAACATAAATAAATCAGTCTCCTCTAAAAGAAATCAAAATATTATAGATAGTAATGTCACCTTGGCCCAATTCTGTAGTCCTGGTCCCCTCCCTGACCTGTCCAAGGTTACTGATATCAGATTGGGTATGTGTCTTTCTAGACACAGATATATTTATACCCAGAAATATATAGCCACATAAAATACATAATGTCTTATGTTTCATTAATGAATATATCCTTTTTTAACTGTATCCAAAAATAAAACCCTAATTTATTCAATTCCTACTCTTTGAATACATTTTCTAACTTCCAAATGAGTCCTCCTAGCTTTGGGAGCCACCAAAGAGAATGAATTTCCAAAAAGTTATTTGACAAAGATACACAAGAAATATCTTTCCAAAAGTTATTTTGGCCTCAAGAATGTGTATGTAGGTCCTCCCTTCTGTTTTGTGAATCATTATTTCAGAGTTTCCTTAGAAAGATGAAGCTAATTTATTGTTTAGTTTTTATGAAGTCTACTGGAAACTGGATTCCAAGAGGGATTGTAAAAGGAAAATAAATAAGGAGCTGTACCAGAATCAAAAACTAGGTATGCTTTCTGTAATGAAATTCAAACCAAATAACTATAGAATAAAATGCCTCCATGGATGGAGCTGTGGAACATTGTTTGATAACACTTGCCTGGCTATTCTCTAGGCCTTCTTTCTTTCTTTCTTTCTTTCTTTCTTTCTTTCTTTCTTTCTTTCTTTCTTTCTTTCTTTCTTTCTTTTCTTTCTTTCTTTCTCTCTTTCTCTCTTTCTTTCTCTCTTTCTTTTTCTTCTTTTTCTATCTTTTTTTTTATTCTGGAGAGGTTTCTTGCTATTGGGCATGTGTACTCACCAGAAAGACATAGAGACAGAGAGACAGAAAGCAAGACATCACCCCCCAAAGGGGATGGCCATGCCACAATCCCTTCTCCTCCATTCTCCTCCTGGGATCCTGGGCACATATGCACATGTGCCTGACATAAGTTTAAGCCACTAGGTCTGGGACACAAACCATGGTTGACCGCTTGGGAGTCCAGCGCCATAGCCATTATGCCATCTGCTGGTCCCTCTTTTCTTTTCTTCAGAAAAAAACTAGTAAAATTCTTTTATTTTCATTGACAACAATTTGAAATAAAAATTTTCATGGTATTTAATTGAACTGTATGTCACTTTCCTTTAGAATGTCCTTTTTAAAATTAAAATAATTCCTAAACCTCTCTACGTGTTCGACCTTCTGTATAACACTTAGATATGGGTTTTTGGAAAGGCCGTAAGTCACCAGCTCCATGAAGTGACAAATTATTCCTTGTTTTGGAAAATCTTCTAGATATTTATCCAGACAGACAGACATGTTCATGAAATGTTGAACCATCATCATCAAAACCTGCTTCATTGTTAACTTGGAACTCCCACAGCTTCCCCTCTTTTGTCCATTGGATCATCTCTTCAAACCCATTCTGAAAAGCCAGTTCACTGACTCTGGCCAGCTGCTTAGCAAATTCCACACCCCAAAGTGAAGTCAAAGTCTCTGGTTCAGGTGCTGCTTCAGTAACTGCCTTAGTGTCAAAAATATTAAAGCTCCTCCTCTTTAATATATTTTTTCCTAGGACTTTTTCTAAGGTCAGCCATCTTCTTCTGGCCAAACACACTGTCTAGTCCTTCATCAAACTCTGTCTCATGCTCTGGTCTTGTACTAACTTTAGCTATAGCAGATCTGGCAACTTTCATATCTGATATGTTTCTGAAACTAAGTCTAGGTCTCTTTTTGTCTATCTGTGCTCTTACATTTCTCATGCTGCCAGAGCTGCCTGAGCAGTTCTGACTTGGTTGTCAGCTTGTTTAAAGGGAGAGAATTTACAATAGCAGATGCAGCCACCACCAACTCAGGACTCAGGTGTTCCTTTCTCTTTGGTGCATCTTCTATAGATTTTTGGAGCCTGCTAATTGTAGCCTCCAAATTTGCAAGTGGTCTTCTGTTCAGTGGCTTTGTTGTTCATACATTTACTGTGCTTAATTCGACATTCATGCTCTTAATAATATCTTACAAGTCTCTTTTTGTATTTTCTATGACATTGTCTTGGCTCTCTGAAGTCTTCTTGGAAATCTCACCGGTTGGAACAGACTGCTCATCTTTCTTGATATAGATCACACCATTGGTGCTGCCAAAATACCATCTGATATTATTTTTTATCCTGACTATTCCACACCAAGCAGCTAGTAGCATGGTAGAGCCACCATTGCCTCTGGGTTTCCAGAAGACAAAGGCTCTCTAGGCCTTCCTTAACTGTGCAGTTTCTGGTTCTAGTTACTCATTAGCAAAGCATCTCCACATTTAATCCATACTGCAGGACAGACATGTTCTATCAATGCCTGCTTAATCTCAGAAATCACAGCCTATGAACCTCAGCCTGCTTGAATTCACAGTAGCTACTCTACTGACCTTGCAGCGTTCTTCCCTGCATTACTAACAACCATATATTATTGTTTTCCCTTTCTGCACCACAAAAAAAAAGGTATACAAAAATAAATCTTTAAGTGTCAATTTCCTCATTGTGACCAGGCTCCTGTCACAATGGAAGTGTTTTGCTAAGAGCTATTCATGGTAATTTCCTTGGTAATGATATACCCTCTATTTCTGGTAAAAGCAAAGAAATCCACCAGGCTCTTCCTGGCAACCTTTTACCGGTTTCCTAAGAAAGACCTATAGAAACAGGGACAGTCATACATAAGGTAAGAGGGTGGATGAAGGGCTCAGGAAGTGGAAAGAAGCTGTGCTGATTATACTTAAGCCCTCCTGTCACCCTATCACTTCATTTTTGTATATGAGAAACAAAATAGAAAGATGGCTCTATGGTCTCCCTCCTCCTTCACATCTATCTAAATTCTCCTCTTCAGGGCAGAGAGGATTTTAGGTTTAAAAAGACTTGAGAGACAGAAAATCAAATAAAATGAGAGGACCTTTTAGACTGTAATTAAAAAAAAATGTTAAGACAATCAGAAATTTGAATATAGATTTGGTATCAAATACTATCCAAGCATTATTGTTAGTTTTGTTAGATATGACATGCATTGTTATTAAGTCAAAAATCATCCCTTTTTTTAGATGCATGCGAGAGTAATTAAGGGTGAAATACTACACGATCTACTTATAAGGGTGTGTCTGCTATTCATAAAAGATTTTATTTTATCAAAAGGGAGATAGGTAGAAAATGAGTATGGCAAATGTTGATGGTAATTGAAACTGCATGATGTTTGTTGAACTCCTTACTTTTGAGTATGTTTAGAAAAGTTCATAATAGTTTATTTTGAAACTTTTGAAATAAAAATATCTAACTATATTTGTCCCCTCCACCAATTTTACTGACTTACCATTAACAGGCACTGGCAGCACAGTGCACTGGTTAAGCTGCAGGTTCTAGAGCCACGCTGTGGGTTCAAATATTAGCATTGCCAATTTGTGAGTTTTGTGACTATAAGATAGTTAATTAACCTCTTGAGGCCTGAATCTCCCCATCTGTGAAATGGAAATAATAAGATCTACCGTATTGGATTATTAAAATTAAGGAGTTAGTGCATGTATTTAGAGTAGCACCTAATATGTAGCATTTAATTAATGTTAGTATCATTGCTAGCTAACTTTTGAAAGCAGGAAGGTGCTATATAACATCTAGTTTGATGCTTTTATTTAAGAAGAAAAATGTACAGTTGAAATATTGTGTTTTTAATGTCATAAAGATAGATAAATTATAGTCAGCTTGTGGAACAATGGTAATGAAATGTGATGTGATGCTGGACCCATGTGGGAAGATCCTGTATTCATGTTCCAGATGCCTCCTTGCACACTCCCCAGGCATGTGTATGCCTGTGGTCAGGGTTGGCTGACGCTGGGGGTGGATGACAACATGAAGACCTTGTTGGGGTTAGGGGATGCTTTCTCTCTGTTTCTCTTTCATGGAAGAAATAAAATTTAAAAAATAATAATAATTCAGCTTTCCTGAATCCACACAAATCTCCTTTCTTTCATACATTATTCACTTTAATATATATTCAATATTGAATCAAGTTTGTCTACCACGGTTTCTACCGAGTACTCATCAAAGACTACATCTTTTCTCTTAACTAACTTACAAAGTAGTTTGATGATAGTAATTATGCTAGATTTTTTACAATGGCTCTCACTATTCCAAGTGCTTCTAACAAGTTAAAGGACAGGAAAAACTAATCGATGGTGATAGAAATTAAAACAGTGGTCACCTCTGGGTAGGAAGGATTGGCTAGAAGGGGATACAAAAAGGACATGAGCAATAGAATAGAAAAATACTCTCTCTTGATCAAAGCGTTGTTTACATGAATGCATACATTCTCTACAACTTATCAAGTAGTACATTTAAGATCTATGCGTTCCTCTGCATGTATGTATGACCTCAAAGTTTAAGAACTACTTCTGTATACATGTGTTTGTCTGGTTTGTCAACACTGTTACCTACAGCAAATAGATGTTTCTTGAGAGCTAGGAAAATTGGGAGTTCTAAAAGGTCATATTCAATAGTATATGACAAAGCTAAAGCTACATATAAGCCTCTTGATTCCTAATCCAGTATGACTTCAAATACAAAAATAAACTGGGACATCACAAAGAACTAATATAAATGGGAAAAGAGAAGGGGAAATAGAGTAACTGCTAACCTTGCCTTGTTTAGAAACTACATGGGGAAGATACAAAGCAAAGCATGATAGATGCATCAGGGAAAACCTTGTGGATGGAATGGGAATAATCATCTCAGTCTATCATTCATGCTCTAACTCATTTATTCTAGTAGCATCTGCCCTATCTTCCAGCGTCTCAGGCCATTGGAGACCAAGAATCATATTTTCCCTGCCTCCTCTTTTTTTTTTTTTCCTGAGAAAAGCTAACACCAAGAAAATGTTTTAATTAAACTACAGAAACAATGGTTATAGTACAGAATATTCATAAGCAAAAAGTTACACCATGTTATAAGTACTTACAAAGTTACAAACCATTTGCTTCCTTAACATAAAATTTCCACATTTCAAATTTATACATGAAGATGAAGTTTACCATTTTGAGGGGGGAGGGGAAGGGGAAAAGGAGTATTTATCATCAGCTAGATGTGCTCACTGTATGCTCCGTTATTTATATGCAAGGCCCGGGTGACTGGAAGTGCAGTTGTCAGGCATTTTAATAAACTGGACCCCACACTCGCTACATGCAGTAAACTCTAGACAGAAATACTGTCACTTTGGCTTTTCCCTGGGCCCTCTAATTCTGCTCTTTCATTTTTCTTCTCAAACCATCCCCAATGAGCTTCCAGGAGGACACCATTCAACCCCGTAGGATAAACTCTGAGCCACTTCACTTTACTTTCTCTAATGGGAGAAGCCTTGAGACCAGAAATAGTAGAACAAAACCTTGGGCATTCTGTGGGATAGATGAATGTTTACTGGTTAAAATAAAAGTCCATTGTGTTTTATTCTTCCCTCTAGATCTTATCAACGTCCTTCACGCAATAGCAAAGAAAAGTACAATGTGGCCTTTAATCTGTTCTTCAGTGTTTACATGTGAGCTATTTAGCACCAACTAAGCAAATAGAGCTTTTATTAAGAAGAGGGATAAAACTGTTACATTTACACAATGAATCTGAGCTGGGTCAGTGTGATATCCCTACTGTCTTAAGGCAGAACTACGCACTAAGGAATTCTAATGGCTCCTACTTTCATTGTCTTAGCCTGTGGTCTAACTGCACGTAGCTGAGAGACTCAGTAGTTTATTCATATACACAATTTGCATGACCTACAAATGCACTAGCCTTTAGGACTGTAAAGATAAAAAGATCCAGAAGTGGGACAGCCAGTGGCATGGTTGTTGAGGTGGCTGGATCTCACATGGTCAACTACATGCTTGAGTTTTGGACCTGGTAGCTTGAAGAACATACTGGGCACATCTGTGTGCATGCCCAAAATCCCAAGAGGAGAATGGAGAAGGGATTATGGCATGGCCATCCCTCCTTGGGGGGATGTTTTCTCATTTTCTGTCTCTTTCTTTCTCTCCCTCTAGCAAGTGCATGTGCCCTTTATCAAATTTAAAAAAAAAAAAAATCCAGGGGTGTGGGTGGGAGGTACGATGGAAAGGGGCAATGGTAAGAGTGGCCCAGTTACCTACAGATCTGCCAGAGCTTGTCTATTGCATCTTTTCCATGGATCTTCATATATAAATACAATAAAATCTTTGATTATTTCCTGGCCTATTAGTCTCTAATCACTTTATCCCTGGTTGCTTCGCTTACCTAATTACATCAAAAGTCTCAGGTGGAGATATTATCATAGCAGTAGGCTCTAATGGATGACAATTACAAACATTTTCCACAGTAGTTAGCATTTCATGGGCACCTTCCATATTCCAGACACCAGATTCTTATAATTAATGGAATTTTATACCAATTAATAAAATAAGCATTATAATCCTCATTCACTCTACAGACAAGAAAATGAAGGCTAATAAAGTAGAAGTGGCAGAGTTAAGATTTGACCTGGCATATAAGATAAAATGTCATGCAAATTTCATCAATCCACATGTCTCATAACATTCCCATGATAAAACAACTATTGAAGCTACCATTACCTATATAATGCTCAAATTTAGTGACTTCTTTCTATTACATTGAATTGAAACTTTTCATGTTACCTTTTAGCATTATATGTCTTAGCAATTTTGTAAGAATTGGGAATTGTTCCAATGACCAATAGATGCATATTTTTAATTTGTCCTGCCAGATCTATTTTCTCTAGTTTATACCCAGTTCTATGTCCTGGAAGGCCAGACTTTACAGACTACATCAGTTGTTCCTTCTGCCTTTTGGCTAAGTTTGGCCAATGGGAGGCACTGGATGATAGTCAAAGGAGGGAACAGAGTTTTGGTGATAATGAAGTTTTTGTTTTGTTTTGTTTTGTTTTGTTTTATCTTATAATTCTGGCATAGCTGGACACTAGAGAGCTTCTTTAGGTTGGCTAGGTTACTCTACAATGGTCACAGCTCCTATCTAATGACTCTTTTCTAGAACTATAGCTATTCTCTTTGAAGGGAAAAATTGCTCCCTTCATTTGTTCACTCAGTTTAAGGAGTATCAACTTTTCCCCATTGTTGCTAGCCTTAGACTGCTTCATCATCATTTACCACTTTCCTTTAAATCTAGTTATACTTACGTAAATCATCCTTAAATTAAACTTTTCTCAATTGTTCTATTGACTCAAACTGATAAAGCCTGGGCTCTGAAATCTACACTTTGAATCACTGAACAAGTATCTTTTCATGTATACATTTACACATTCATTCTACCAATATTTATTGAACATATATTGTGTGCTATGCACTAGGTCAACAATAAACTGTGACCACTGGTCTCTTAGGGCATAAGGTTTAATAGCTTGGATAGATTAAATAGATGATCATACGAATTAAAAATTACTCAGTAAGTACTAGCTGACATTGTTGCTGATGATGCTACTATTTTTTCTTATTTTCTCTACTTTAGGATAGCTGAACTCTAGACCTCTACTGTTTGGTAAACCTGCCGTAGAGAGTTGACTGCCTCTAACACTGGACTGAGGAGTATCTGGGGTAAAAAAACTATATGAACCACTACAAAGAAAGATATACTATAAAAGAAAAAGTAAAGATACAGGAAATGACAAGGTTAGGGCCAAAAACCAAGATTCACAAAATTAGAAGAGGATATGATAGATGATGTGGTAGAAGAGTCCTATTTTGAAATATGAAAAAACTCAAAGTTAAAAGGGTAAAAAAAGTTGTTTTACAGAAGGCAACCTACTATAAGTCTTCAATAGGCTAATATGCGACAGGTCTCAGGTCTTTCCAAGGTAAAATCCTATGTGGTATTTTCTATACAACAGAATTCACAGAATTCTTTTTTCAGAGGCTATTGCTATGACATTTTAGAAAACATTACTTTAAGGTTTATATCTGAACTGCCATCTTCATAGCTTTCTAATATCTGCTTGGCTCACCAGCCCGTTAGAACTGAGATGATTTAACATTATTATTTCTCAGTTATTTGTGATATTCAGAATCTTTAACAACCATTATGACTTAGGACCAACCATAGCCCTGTAGTTGGGTAGACCCTAGTACCCCCTGCTGAGTTTATTTATCCTTTTATTGTTAAGTCTTGGAGAAGCAGAAGAGATCTCAAAGAAGAGGGTCAGTTGGAATGGCTATCCACCAAATAGTACAGAGGATTTCAATATTTTAATATGTAGCATAGCTCTACCAGATGACTATCAGCCCTGCCTACATTTGCCAAGTATTAAAAATTTAAACAAGGGGAACCAGCAGTTAGCGTAATGGCTATGTCGCTGGACTCCCACGTAGTCGACCGCGGTTCGTGTCCCGGACCCGGTGGCTTAAAACTCACGCCGGGCGCGTGTGCGTGCGTGCCCAAGATCCCGAGAGGAGAATGGAAGAGAAGGGATTGTGGCGTGACCATCCCCCCTGGGGGTGATTTCTCGCTTTCTGTCTCTATGTCTCTCTCTGTCTGTCTGGCGAGCGCACGTGCCCTACAGTGAAAATCTCTCCAAAAATAAAAAATAAAATAAAATAAAAATTTAAACATAAGAGAATGTACCTTTTCTAAGAGTATTAACCAGAAATGACAGAGCTGGGATTCAAACTTGTTCTTCAAAAGTCCAGGTCCTCTACTGTTTTCTCTTTGTCACTAACTTTGTATGTTCTCTTTCACATCCTATACATAGACCACCCTGGTCAGTGACTTAAACCAGTGAAAAGAATACCAGCTTTTAGAGACAGAGACTTACCTTCAAGTCCTACTTCTGCTATTTATTATTGTGAGATCTTGGGCAATCCACTTGACCCTAAACGACTTAGTTTCTTCACTGTGGAAATCATGGTAACTATGTTGAAGTAAAGCTTTGCAAAATATTAAGTAATATTCAGACATCAGCCATTTACATTATTTGTAGATTGACATTTTCATCTTCTATTTTTTTTTTTTTTGGAGAGGTTTTTGCTATAGGGCACGTGCGCTCACCAGACAGACAGAGACAGAGAGACAGAAAGCAAGAAATCACCCCCCAGGGGGGATGGCCACGCTGCAATCCCTTCTCCTCCATTCTCCTCTCAGGATCTTGGGCACGCACGCACACGTGCCTGGCATGAGTTTAAGCCACCGGGTCCAGGACACGAACCGCGGTAGACTACGTGGGAGTCCAGCGACATAGCCATTATGCTAACTGCTGGTCCCATCATCTTAGATGTTTTAATGTTAAGGCTAAAATTTTTTTTTTCTAGATGAGAAATCTCAGACAAGAAAGTTAAATGACTTACCCAAAGTCACACGGTTAATGATGATAGCGTCAGGACTGATTTCAAAGTTCTTGACTTCCATTTCAGGATTGTTTGGTGGACAGTCTCCAAATTCATATCATCAGCTTCCTACAAAAATGGAAATGTGAATAATTCCAAATTACGGTCACAGCTTTGTTAGCAGGTCATTGAATTCAGCTCTATCCAAGTCCGCAGGAAGAAGTACAGCTTTGGGCTCAAAATATATCTTCTATAGTTCAAGCTGCACCTAACCAATTGATAGGTCACTCTAGCAGCTCTGGGACTATAATAGAAGAACATGATATTAACGACACTCTTTATGCTACAAATGGAGCAGGGGTAGGAACCAGTGCCATACCATACCAGAGTCTGACTTTTAATTCCTTATACACCATAGGCCAAAGGAATTATGTTTCCTGATGGGACAAATGAGGAAGGAAGACTTATTCTCAGCCTGTGAAGATTCAAGGTAAAGAAACTCTCACGATCACAAGACTTAACTGAAAAGTTACAGAAAGTTAAAAGCTATGGATATCTCCTGCACTCTAAGAAAGCTGAGAAAAGCAATGTGGTTTTGTGAAATAAACCTGGCTTTGAAGACAGGCATTTTTGGATGCAGAAACAAAGTCATCCACTTACTACTAGCTCTGGTAGTCACTTGTACCACCTTCAAAATTTCTGGGCTCTATCTTCCAGGCACAAGAGAGAGCTCTACTTCCTGGCCCACCTGGTTAGGTGGAGTCATGTGAATAATCCTGACCAATGCATTACGAGAAGAATAGACATATGTCATTTCTAAGTTAAGCATTTATTGCTGGTATGACACTCTACTGAAATGACTCCCTCTGGTACAGCAATGTTTGTGATGGGTGCACTCTGTGACTTGGATCCCAAGCAGGGCCATCCTGCTCACTCACTTTATGAGTACATGATACAAGCAAGAAATAAACCTTTCTGGTTTTTGTTTGTTTGTTTTGTGTTTTAAGTCCTGAAATTTAGAGATGATTATGTCATCTATCCAAACTGAACATAAACACTATAACTTTCAGTAAGCTTCTTAGCCTCTCTGAACATGAGTTTCTATTGCTTAATTTAGGGATACACAGTTTTGCCAGGGTTATGAGGATGACTGATAGTTTATGTAAGCACTTTATAGCTCCTAGAGTATATCTGGTCCTCAAGCAATGTTAGCTTTTATCAAAACTCAGTGAGAGTGACAGGAAAGGAATCAAGGAGAAAATAGGAAAACATTTATGGGACACAGAAATGGATGATTATCTGTTGATGATAATGTCTATGGTATCTTCAATTGGACTGGTGTGAAGTGTATTCATGTTGGGTAAATTCACTTTATAAGCTGTAGTGATGTATAGTGATTGAATGTATAAAATAAATTAAAATTTTAAAAAAGTCTGTCCATGAGAAAAGCAGTTGGAAACAGGATATCCTTAAGCAAATATACAGTTTGCAGTCCCCACTCAGCCAGACATAATGCTTTGGCAGCTGGGTCAGACAGTTAGAGGAATGTTCTTGAATGCCTCCATTCATTCATTCATTCATTCATTCATTCATTCATTCATTTTACAAATATATAGTGAGTACCTGCTATGTGCCAGATACGTTCTGAGCGCTGAAAATATAATACCAAACCTGGTTCTGCTTCTCCTGGATGTTACTTATGCCATCTAACACATTTGAATGGTTGCAGTTTTTAGATTATTATTTATACTCAGGCAGAATAAGGAACTTGGAGATTTGACCTTTGCATTTTAAGGTATTTTTATTTCTTAGAAAACTGTTTGCATATATTAACAGATTTCATTCTTGCTACAGTCTTAGGAGGGGGAGAAATGTAACTTTTTTTTTTTTTAATTGGGATCCAGCTACTCGGTGGCACTGCCATATCTGGAATTTGCACTCTTGGATTCTTGGCTCAAAGTGTTTTTTCATTTGTTTCCCAGTCCCACATTGACAATAAAAACCCCAATCACTCTTTTGCCTAAGAGATGCTCCTGGATAATTCCTCTAGGCAAGCATAGGTGAGACACATAAAAATGCAGTTGTTCTATGACTACAGTAATAATGAACCACCACAAGCAGGATACTAGACAGAACTGCCCCATACCAAATCTTCCTACTGTGGGTCAAATTTCAGAAAGTTTTTACTTCACAACTCTATGTGTGGAAAAATATCTAAGTACACACCTAATGTAGGCATCGTTATCACGCTGGAAAAGTAGGTAATAGGAAAAGGCCAAAACAAGTAGTACCTGGCTTCCTGGTTTCTTTTTTTTTTTTTTTTTTGAGGTTTTTGCCATAGGGCACGTGCGCTGGCCAGAGAGAGACAGAAAGCAAGAAATAACCCCCCAGAAGGGATGGCCACGTCGCAATCCCTTCTCCTCCCTTCTCCTCTCGGGATCTTGGGCACGCACGCACACATGCCTGGTGTGAGTTTTAAGCCACCAGGTCCGGGACTCAAACCACAGTCGACTACGTGGGAGTCCAGTGACATAGCCATTACGCTAACTGCTGGTTCCCTGGTTTCTTTTTTGAAGTAGATTTCCTAGAAAGCTAGGCCACACCTAATTCCTCACTAATAGCTTAGTATTCACTTTAAGCCCATTAGGAGTCAACAAATCAAAGACCTGCTTAAATGTTATCTCATTATGAAAATATCCTTGATTGTGTTATCAAAAGTGATCACCTATTACCTATTGTTTGTATCTTAATCTGGCAATATACTGTATCCTGAAGTCATATTTGGATGACAGGGAAACAGCCAGACTATCCCCGGCAGGAAATGATGAAAAATACAATAAGAAATATAGATTGAAGTAAATTCTGAAGGTCCCTAATGCCAGACTAAAAAAATGTATATTCCTCTACAGGCAAGAGGTGGCTGCTGGGAAACTTGGAGTATTTACAAAATAGAAATATAATCATATGATCACTTACACTATGAAAGAAAGGGAGGAGGTGAAGCAGAAATAAGGGTTCAGATAATGTAAAACAACATAATCTAAACAGTTGTTTTCTTGGAGATGTTTTAGATTTATATTTGACTAAGTAGATGTATTTCAAATCCAGTAAACAAAATTAAAACTAACACCTAACTAAACACCTGATTCGTCAAGACTTCGGAAATTGTCTCTGTGGTGCCATCATCTGTGAAATCTTGTAAAATTCTCCTAGTTAGCTCCTTTTCCGGGAAGATGTCCCTACTTTTTAGCAGACCAGGGACTCTGATATATCAAATACTCTTTCTTTTCTTTTTAGAAATTATTTATTTTATTTATTATTATTTTTTTAATTTGGTATAGAGCACATCCACTCACCAGAGAGAGGGAGAAAGAAAGCAAGCTGCCACCAGGTCTGGGACTTGAACTGCAGTTGACCATGTGGAAGTCCAGCACCTTGACAACCATTCCACCTGCTGCCCCCTCAAACATTTTCTGTTATTAAAATATAATTATATATTAGTTTATACATATATAATATATAAATTTAATGAGTTGGATTAACCAAATATCAATAGATTGCCTTTGGAAAGTGAGTTTGTTCTTACTTGGGTATCATTACAGTTGCCAAACCCATTACTCATCACAACCAGCTAACACTTTCTTCATTTTCTTAAGTGGTATGTGAGATTCCGAGGTGTTCTGCCTTCTCCCTGTGTGTTCTCACACACAGTCTGTCCAGCATGAGTTAAACCATAAAGGGGTCAGAAAACCTTTCATCACCACGGCTCCGCTCCACCAGTACGAACTCCTACTCACCAACTGGGCGTGGCTGAAACTGCTTTGTGTCCCACCTCGCTGGAGATCCATTGCCTCAAGACAACTCGCTGTCATTAATCTGGTCAGGTCTCTGGAAGCTGAACTTCTTTAACAGGCAATGTCATTTTGTTTTCCCCGCGAAAGAATCACTTCCGGTATTGCTGAGCCTCTCAAAGTTCTCTCTATTCCCCAGTCTTCCAGTGCCACTCTATGGTACATCCTACATATAATACACGTTTACTCATTTTTTTCTTCGCTCCCCCGAATTTCCCCCAACTGATCGTTGCCGTATCCCGTAACGAGCACACAAATCTTACCAACGCTCTATTTTGCACTTCCCTATAGCAATGATCTTACAACTTTTTGGTAAGCTTACCAAAAGTTTGAAAGCTAAGTACCCATTCATACATTTATTCTCCTCTGAAATTATTCATCATAATTTAAAATAATTGCAAAGCATGGTGTGTCCAGTGTATTGTAAGTAATAATATTCCAAACCAAAACTGTTCACTCTCTTTATAAATGTGTCCAAAGAAATCTAAATACTATAATAGATTTCATCTATTTAAAAATATGTAAATGAGCATTTTATCATACATCTTGTACTGTTGCTTTTTGGAGAGGTTTTTTTTTGTTTTTGTTTTTGTTTTTTGTTTTTTGTTTTTCTATAGGGAGCGTGCACTTGCCAGACAGACAGAGAGAGACAGAAAAAGAGAAATCACCCCCCAGGGGGATGTCCACCCCACAATCCCTTCTCCTTCATTCTCCTCTTGGGATCTTGGGCACGCACACACATGTGCCCGGCGTGAGTTTTAGTCCAGGACGTGAACCGCGGTCGACTACGTGGGAGTCCAGCGACATAGCCATTACACTAACTGCTGGTCCCTTGCACTGTTGCTTTTTTTATTGTCAAAGAAAATGCCCTCATAGAATTTACACAAATGAACTTTATCTTTCCACTTTTTTGACCACCTATTATAGTTCTCTGCATCATAGAATATGTTATTTGAAATATTATTTGGGGCCAGCCTGTGGTATTTAAGGCAGCTGGGTCCCACATGACTGACTGCATGGTTGGAGTCCTGATCCAACAGCTTGAAAAATATACCATGCACATGTGTGCTCAAAATCTAAGGGAGAAGTGGAGGAGAAGGGATTGTGGCATGACCAATCGCCATGGAGGAGGTGATTTCTTACCTTGTTTCTCTCTCTGACGAGTACACGTGCCCTCTGGCATATTAAAAAAAAAAGAAAGAAAGAAAGAAAAGAAAAGAAAAAGAAAGAAATATGTATTTGTTTTTAATTTTTGTATCCATAATTTTCTCATCTCTATTTCTTCTAGATTGAAGTAGCTATTAAAATTATTGGTAGTATATAATTGTTTCAATAACATATTTTATATATATATGTACACATATATGTATAAAACAGTTTGCAAAGCTTGATAAGTAATAATTGAATATAAAAAGTAAAATTTTACATACGTATGAAATACTTCAAAAAGATGAAAAGTGGAACTAAAGAAGTTTACTTTGGTGTCCAAAAATTTAAATCCATACATAATTTTTCACATTATGCATTTTCCATGAAATTTTTGAAGACTCCCTTGTACATCTTTTAATAAGATACACAAAAGTTATTTTTAATAATTTACCAACTGTCTACTA